CAACTTCAAGATAGTAAAAATATCCTAAACTAAAATTGTCGATCGACGAATTTCAGAGTCAATTATTTCTTCTATCTACCAATCAAAAATGTAAAGCTAAAAATACTATTCCTTTACTAATAAGTATCTACACAAGTGAATGTATGTATGTACTTATAAAACTTTACATGGACATATAACCATTTTCGGTTAATTCGCCATATTTAAAGATTGCTTTAATGAAATAATACAGATATAGATATTTATTCGAGCTAAAATTCAAAATATTTTTAATTTTCTTATTCAAAACGTCGTTATTATATTTCGCTATCTAGCACATCTCCGTCGCAACCTCATTATCTAAAAGTGTCGTCATTAGTTGTGAAATTTCATAAATGTTAGTTTGGTTAATGTAATATAATTTACAGAAACATTTTCATAACATTGAAAAGGTATATCTGCGAATAAATTCCTGAAATATAAAAATCTGTCTTACAATAAATTCTCCTAATGTAGCTGGATAAAATGAAATCAACGGGATTGTCAACTGTACGGGAAGTTTTACAGTATTGCAAACTGCAATGTTCTAACATAGAAGTTGGTCATTGTGGTTTACCGCCTCGTAACTATTGTTGTAACCACAATTAACAAATGTTTAAACTTGCTGAAATACAAGCATTCTGTAATTTAATTTTGAAAACATAATTTTTCATAGAAATAGGTTTTACTTATATGTATAAACGAAATAATTTTAAAGTTAATTTCTAGTGTTAGTAGAACCATACTTATATAGAAAATTTAATGTCACCTGAAAAAATTCAAAGCAAAACTTCGTCTCCAAGAAGTGACTAACGAAAACTGAGGTAGTTCTGGTTTCAATATGGAAATTTGTACAAACTTGCAAGTTGGGATCACAGTTTAGTAACAGAAAGTTTTCAGGACAGCGACAAAAATTGTAATTTGTAATGTACTATCTTACAAACTACTTCACACTTTGTCGCATGGCGATTACAAAGCCAATTAAAGTAAGAGTGATAAAACCAGAGAGAAAATGTGTTTTCCTCGTACGGACATTAAACAGGAACTGCTGTTTTATTTTATCAGATAGTGGAGTAATCAAGAAATTTATAATAAATTATATTTTTCTTCATTTTAAAATGTAGTATATCAATAAGGTGACGTACAATTTATAAAAGCTATACTAAAATATTTAAAAGATTTTAAGATAACATTGCTATCGTAAGATTATGATAGCAATTGTATCTACAAACGAGTGATACCATGTTTAAAAAGACTGAAGCTCTAAGCAAAACGATTGCAAACATGGTTGCCCATTCTATTAATAGAAGCACCATAAAAAATATGTAACATAATGTATAAAATATTTAACTTTATGACAGCATATAATTTAATACTGAAAACATCCTTCTCTGTTATAAACCATTTAAAAAATTTACGCAATATAGGCAAAAACGAAAAAAGCTTTAAATATTCAACAGACTATTCCATTCCGGTCGCCACATAACAAAGCAGCCAAAAACTTAACTGCAGTTCATTGTTAACCAGTCAGCGAGCGATGGTGCAAATAATCCAATTTGAAAGTCGCGCTACCAACCACGTTACGTCATAATTAACTAGAGGTCGGGGACAAATGTCATGAATAAATAAAGCCTGCGTGTATGACGCTTTGTTGTCGCTTGTGTTGACAGCTTATGTGGACAGCTTATTCGGACCCTTTTAAAACGTCAACCCATCCATAGAATATTAAACTGTTTAATGATAAGATACCTTAAATGTCTTATATGAACAGTTGTCCAAAGTGTCAATGTCAAAATAAAGACATGTATTTCCCCAAACTTCTTACCATGTAAATTAAAATAAATTTTAGTATTTTATATATAGGCGTTTCCATACGTAGTCCTCGTTTATATGTGTATTTTATGTTTTTATAAATAAAGTACAGTGTGACATAAAAACATTCATGTCCCTTGTGTCATAATACATGAAAATGCAGTGTTTAATGTGCATTCAAGAATGCTTTTTCGAGTTTCATTTAATATTTACCTCATTATTTTGCTTACATCAAAATTAAATAATACTCAAATTAATTAGACAAGTAAATGTAAAATTGATTCATTTTGAGTAACATTTTAAAATATATAAAGAATTTAATATTGCATATAATAATAACAATTTAGTCTCATTTTAATTAGTAAATGGGTTATATTTTCGCTGGAAAGAAAGCTTTATAGACTTAACAGTACCAATGTTTTGTGGTTTGTGTTACCACTTAAACCACGTTTAACAACGCTTTGAAATTAAAGCCTTCTAACTCATATAAAATTTAAATGCAATATAAAGCTTTATAATGTAGCAATTCGCGAAAACAATTATTCAAGCAAATTAAATCATTATTAGATTTTCCTTATCTCTTTACCCGGAAATTACCAAATATATTAGACATGTATATCTGTATGTTATATTCTACCTTTGCACCATTGTTATTGAATTGCAATATTTTTATAGTGTATTCCGACAATTGTGTTACAAACATCCAAACTATGCAGAAATATGTTTCACAATTGTGTATGCAAAATCCCAATCATATGCCAACGTAGTATACGTCAGTAGTTAGAGAAGAAAACTTTGAGACTGACTTGTCTACAGCACATAGGAAAATAAAATGAAAATTGGTCTTGGGCCTAACTTTTGCAAACTTTCAAGGATGCTTGTATGCCATGATTTTGAGCAACGCAAAATTCAATGTTCTTATTTGATTCTAGTTATTTTTTTATTCGAGTCATTATTTAAATAATTAGTCTCAAATTATTTAGCTATTATAGATTTAAACCATAAGGTAGTATTCAGAAATATACATAAAATTTTATTTCAGTTCTACAATTATTAAAAGTATAGATTTTTATAAAAATCTTATTCAGATGACTTCAAATTAATGACTGAAAAGAAAATAATCGGAAAGACATAAATAACTACATAAAAAACAGTTAAATATTTCTGCTTAGCGACAATAAATTTTGAACTAACAATTGTTTTCCTGTTTGTTTCGAAGTAAAGTATCTTGGGACATTCGAATATTATGGTTGTTCAGAACTATTCCTGTTGATATTCTAATTTGTCTGTTTACGTTGAGATTTAGGGCAACCATTTAGTATAAAATAAACCCATGCTTGTGTTTATTTTAAGTTGAACTCCTTTTATGTTTCTTTTAATAAAGCCTGTTTTATGTTTTATTAACAAACCGGCACAAGCAGAAACTATTTATGAGAACAGTAATGAATGATTCTGCTTCCGTGAGACTCAACGAGCTTGTTGGCCGAGTTTACACCAAAAAAGTACTTATTGCATGCGTTCTATGAAAGGATTCTCGAATTTGAGAATCATTTCAAGCTATTTTAATTTCCTTTTGTAAATTGACAGCAAGTATATTATGATTTATTAACGGATGTCTTAGTTGTTGCTTTCGCTAGTCAGTAATAACGAGAAATATATTTACATAATATAAAAATATTCGGGTTGTACCTAATAAATTCAATCTATACACGAATTCTTCTTTAAGAGGGCTCAACTTCGTCGAAGTGGTAAAGTTAAATCCACAATCCCCAAGAGGTAACCTCGGGTACAGATACATAGGTACGTTGCAAGACGAGAAATGGATTTTCCCTATAAATATTTAAAAATGCGATGCCGGGATATTTGGCTGCAAAATATTTCAAGTAATATCGTTGAAAATTCAAATGTTGGTAATTTTTAATTTTTGTAGTGAACTGCTACTAATTCGTAATGCCTGAGGAATATGAATATCCATAAAATTAAATAGTTATTCAAATACTGGACTTACCAAATGTACAGTTTATTTAAAAAATAAAAAACTACTACTAAGTATATTCTAATTACAAAACGCGTTAAATGTAGCTTATAACCAAATAATACACGGTATTCTTTTATTTTTAAATCTACAACCTCACCATGGTTTGAATTGGCAACAATTTGTTACACAAGGGTAGCCTTACAGAATTCGAGAGTCGTTGAAATTTTAATACGCAAGCGATACAGCCAAAAGGTGTTGCGGTAGTGAAATGTATTCAGCCTGTGTGTTTCTCCCCTGACTGTAAAATGTTTGAGATTACTGCAACTCTTCTAACTTTGACACTTAAATTCCCTCGACTTTAAATTATTTAAAATAAATAGCTATTTCACAACTGAAGTACCTTATAAGTTTGTATTGCACGTTTTATTTACGTCTATTTAAACATTTATATTATTTTTCATTAATTTTAATGAATGTTTACTTCTTCGTTATACATAATTGGTTTTAAAATATCAAACAATGTTAGTGATAGTAGTATCTCGTGACTTGCATTTATTGTATTTTATAATAGACGAAAGAATTCAGACCCTTCTCTGATATACATTTGTTTTAAAACTGATTTCAAATTTATGGTTTTTATCCTTACAAGACAATAACACTTTTAGTTTAATAATATGGTGATCATATAATATGGTGATAAACTTGTAGACAAATTGTATGATCTAACTCCTTTATAGACTTTTTCTTAATTCGATATATTTGAAAGGTCATACTCAGTCATTGTCATTAGTAACGAACATTTTTGTGATTGATATTGCTTCAATGTTGTACGAAAATCAAAAATATTAGTATTTACTAGTCTTACTTGAATGGTTTACAACATGGAGTTTGAAAAACTCCAATATTTTTAGTGTTTAGGGTGGGAATTTTCTACATTATAAATAGTTTGTTAATTTTACTTACTTGAATTCTGGCAGTTATTTTCAACAAAATTAACTTCAAGAATGTTATCCTAATTCTACTTTAAAAACTTAATATTCTGCGTAATATGTATTAAAATAAAACACCAATTTAATAAACTTGGACTCATTAATTTATCAAATTTTATTTGTCGATAAAAAAAAATCATTATATTACAATAATACATTTTCAATGCATAATTCAAGTAACATACACAATTTATTAAGGCATTTTATTGCAACGGTTCTACTATGACAGTATAATTCTTAGTATCACATAATTTAACCCAATTTATACATTTTATCAACCAACTTTTAGTAACATGTCTGACATCTGGTGGTAATCTTCTCTTTAATTTCACCATTTTACCAAATTCGATTTTATTATTATTATGTACAACATAATCAACATCTATGTTTTTTAAGGATTTATTTACAATGCCACCGTAAGCTATCCAATGTCTTTCAAAATGAAACCTCTCCTTTTCTGGAATGCTTATAAAATCTGGATAGAACCCAAGCCGCTTGTTTAAAAAGACATCTGGTAAAGGATTGTCAGGAAATAATTTAGGTTTGATATCTTCTTTAATAGAGCTTGTATCTTCTATGTCTGTTTTGTCTGAATCATCATCAGCATTATTTTTCGTGTTGTGCTCATTAACTGGGGACTTTTCTTTTTTTTGTGTATATTTTGCAAAACATTTCTCTAAAGTATTTGATACTGGACTTGTTTTGTTTTTAGCTTTCTTAGGACTTGGTTTTGGTTTTTTCTCAGGTGGTACATAGTCATCTGCGGTGGCTGCTAGTTTATTTAAAAGACTGACATCAGTTTTCTCTTTTGAGGTTTTATATAAATGTTTTAGTTCTTCTAAATTTGTTGCAGTTTCCCAATTTTTGTCATCCCTTATACGCGTTACTCTTGGAAATCTAACAGATATACCATCGGCTGTATGTAAGTTAGCTTTTGTCAACTCAGTTCCTGAAATTAAAATTTAAAATTGTTATTATTATTTTTCAAGACAGATGCTTAACATTTTTTTGAGAATGCTATATTCAAATTATTTTGGAGAACAAGTATAAAACATATAAAATGTATCAATCTCATTGAATTAAAAATGTAATTTCAACCAAAATTTTATAGAACTAAAATTTAAATTACCAGTAATTTCCCAAACAGGTTGCTTCTTAGGATCTACAGCAACAAAATCTGGAATCATTCCCTTCTTACAGTCCAACCAATTAGGTACTTTATTTGAGTCTTGAGATATTTTTACCATTAAAGGACTTAATTCTTTTTGTAATCTTTCTAATGTACTATCATCATGACCAGTGTGCACTTTGGTAACAGTTACCCATTTGTTTCTAAATTTGTCCAAACATCCCATTAGAAATACTGACATCATACCACCTTTCTTTCCAGTACCTAAAAACAAGATAAACGAAAAATCATTAGATACATAACTTTTATGTAAACAAATCAGAAGTTAGTGATTATTATAATGTGATTTTTATACCAAACCAAGCTCCTAAAACAATCAGATCAGCTGTATCTGCCATAGCTCCATCAAACAGATAATCCTTTTTAACTTTCAACCAATGTCTCTTTCCAGGATCATATGTGGATTCCAAGTCTTTAAGAACTAGACCTTCCAAACCCAGCTGTAATACCTGAAATACATAAAAAGTAATTTTAAATCTTCTGAATTATCTTTCATTCAAAATTAAAAATAGAAAAATATTAATATTGAAGGGCCTATTCTTCTTAATTTATTTCTTATTAGGAGGTGTAATTCGTATCATTCAATTAATAAAATCATTTTGAATACATGTAATTATAGTTACCTTAGCAATCATATTGGCTAGATCAGATGGTTTATAAATCAGTTCCTGCTCTGAGAACATCACATGGTTTTTGATTTCAACCATATTGTCATGCAATATTTGGCGTCTCTTTTTTATTGGCATATCTATTAAAATTTCGCCATTGTAATATAGGCAATCGAAAATATATAAGCACACTCCAGCATCTTTGAATTCAGACTGTTTATGTATGCCCAAAGTACCGAAAGGTAAAGGCTTGCCTGTTTTTAAGTCTACCATTAAGACCTCGGCATCCAATATTAAATCAACCCCTTTAGGAAACGCTTGAGGCAAGTAATCCTTGAAATGACTGACTTTATGAGCCATTACAGGCTTTAGAGCTCTTGAGAAATATTTAAATTCATTTCCTTTTTTATGTACTTGTACTCTTTCTCCGTCATACTTTATTTCAGAGAACATTCCATTGGGACACTTTTTCATTGCCATTTCAACAGATTTACACGCTTCTGCTAACATTGGTAGTACTGGTGTCATAATACTAAGTTTTGCCTGAACATTTTTATGTATTGCATCTTTATGTTTGACTTCACTGCTTTGTGGTAAGACTCTTTCTAAAACCATATCCAAATCCCTGGATGTTTGAAAAACGCTATATGCATCAGGGTGGACGCCTTCAAGTATATGTTTTGGTCCAGCGTTTATCCTCAGATCACCTTTTATCAACCGTATAAGCATTTTGAGATCATCCACAGTACACTTTTTTATTATTTTTTTAAAGTGATATATTTGTTCGTCTTCTTTTGTCAATTTTGAAAGTTCATGAAGGAAGTCATCAACAGTTTGTAATGTTAAAGAACTTTCTGTTGCTGGTTTGTATGTGTTTGATTTTTTAAAAAAGTGTTGTAATGTATCAGCTACATCACCATTTTCTAAATGTGTGAGCATATCATCATGATCGGTATTGAATATTCTAGCAAATAATTTAACTAGCTGTTTACTTTTCAAATTATAAATTCTCTTGGATACTTGAGGCAAAAGGAACTTACACCATAAGACAAGATCTCCATTAAACTTTTTACCATTGCAACCATTGGTAAAAAAATTGTTAACTACAGCGGTTTTTTCAGTGTAGGCATCAACTTTGGATATTTTCTTACATAAAGTAAAGAATGTTGAGAATTTATCATCTTCCGTCTCCACTTTTATTTCATCATTCAAAGAAACATTAGGGGACTTAATTTCTGTTTGAGTATGTTCATTTTTTATGACTTTAGCTGTATATTTTCCATTATACTTATCTGCATATATCTTTTCCATCTGATTAATTTCCTTAAGTATATATTCTTGGTCCTCCTTACTTATATTATCCCAGTTTCCAATATCATCGATGGAATCTATCCGTTTCGTGGTAGGTCGTTGTTTTAATAAGACGTTCATCAAACAATTTACATGGTGCCACGACTTCATTTGTTGGTTTTCGCCATATGGACTAGCCACCAATTTTGCTATACGTAACTGTCCGCTCTCGCAGTGAGCCTTGCATCCTTTACAAGATGCTCGTCCAACCTTAGCTCGGTCAACATAGAACGGCGTAGATTCTGTCATATCTAACAGGTAACAACTTGGGTAAAAATATCAACACACAGTCAACACTTTTGATAGCCAATTTGCGGTTCCTAAAAACGTCCACGACAATAAATGTTTACTAAAAAAAAGAAAAATGTACACTTAAGTTATTAATGATATTTTTGTAAACAATTTAGGAGGAACGATTCGTAAACAAATGTTTTATAACCTCCATGACGCATCTGACAGTGTCTCAAATGTGTCAAACATGATCTGTCATGCTTTGCATAAAAACAATCTATCTTGAAAATTCCATAACACGCATGTAACATTAAAAAATATATAGAAAAAAAGTAAAAAAATAATAATTTACGTTATCAGTATAACAAATGACTGACGCTAATATAAAAATGAAGTAGTTACATACTCATTACACTTCAATACTATATTGACTAAAATATTCGAGCATGCGCATATTGTCATTACTGGATTGCGCATGCGTAATTTGCTTAATTTTAATAAAACTTATTTAGTCGCATGAATAAAACTTCAAATATTTTTTAAAAGGTATTTAATTTGAAAATGATTACCTAGAGAAGGCATATATATACAAATCTGCAAAAATATATAAATATTGAAATGTGTCTTAACCGGATAGGAGTTTAAATGAGTAAAATTTAACATCCTTAACTTTAACTGACACACTGACTAATATGAAGTAAAAACAAAGATGTTATTTTCAGTTTTAAAGAGAAAAGTGTCGCGTAACTGCTATTGATATTGAAATCCTTTGGGTTTCATTGAACAAAGATATATTATACATATTATAAATGACAAAACGTATTAATATTTATTATATCAAAAAGTAATTTGATTTGTACCTACTAGCAAACAGAAAAATAATAGTGTTCTTAAAAACTTTTTATTTCAATAAATTATAATTCGTTATTAGTCCAGCTAAAGTGTTTAGTTATTTTAATTATTTATGCAACAAGTCTGATTTTGCTGTATCATTGTATTAATAATAACTACTGTTTTCTATCTTTTTTCAGCGTCATCCTGTCATCAGGAGTTTAACAGTGACGGATCAAAACACGGGACATTAACTTCTCCTCATTATCCTTTAGCATATCCTCCTAATACTCATTGCCATTACGAGTTTTTTGGAAGAGGAAAAGAGAGAATAAGATTAATATTTCAAGATTTCTTTTTATTCAAATCTTCGGATGGGTCTGCAGAGTAAGTATTATCAATTAATAGCATGTAGGTGTAATAAATATATAAGCAAAAAAATGATGAAGAATATTTCGAGTTACGAGTACATATCATATTATCTGTATGATGCTCAGTCCCATATTATATTTTATATACGCTCTTATTGCCCGTGTAAAAAAAAAAACATAGAAAATAAAAGCGTAATAACAAACAATTATATCACGATATAGAACTAGTAATACAATAAGTAATATTTACATTTCATTGTTTTTGATTAATAAATGTTTATTCATTTCAGTTGCCGGAACTTGGATTCGCTTCAAGCGTTCGTTAACGTTGATGGGCGGCTAGAAAATGTTGCCACATTTTGTGGTGTAGATCTGCCCAAACCAATAATGTCGAATGGCCCAAAGTTGATGTTAGAATTTCGAGGTACCCAGTCTTCGAGACATTCAAGAGGATTTAAAATTTCATATTCATTCATAGAGAGTAAGTTGGGAATATAAAAATAAATTCGAAAGTTAATAGACTCTAATCTCTAAAGTATAAAAAACTATAACCTTAGGGATTTCAATATTTTAAGGATCGAAGTGATTATTACACACAATTATTTAGATAAATGTTAATGGTGTTCTGAGTATAACGATATTCCAAAATGTTTTAGTCAACATTTTATATTTTGAATTATAAATAGTCTAGATTCTAGAAGAGCAACCTCTTTACCGTAATCACAAGTTTTGCGTCGCCGAATGACACACGAGAGATTCTTGTTTTTCATTCATGAATCTTCGTGGTACGTGGTAGGATTACGTTCCTTATACAGTTATAAGTATAAATATAATTAATGCATTAAAATATTAGTCGAAATATTAAATGTAAGTAAGTAGAACATATTATTCGATAGTTCGTTAATCTTATTTGTCAAATAAATAGACCTCTACCTATCTACCTATTTAAAATAGAAAATAGAAGATATAGAAAGATCAATGTCTTTTCGGTCCAATAATTTGCATGCAATAACATACTTTTTAAATACCTATTAAATTTTAGTACTCAGTTATTTCATATTTGTTTAAAAATTTAAAATACATATGTACTCATAGATTTTGCCGTTAGTAAATACTGTTCATTTTCTGCTGAACTAATCGGGTTTATTTAAATTTGTCGTTGGTGATTTTATTGAAATAATTTTTGTAATTTTAATTAAATAACTAAATATAAAAAATGCTTAAGTAAATCATCATCACAGATTTCATTAGTATGAAAGTTATTAAGTCGTACATACTTCTTTTTATTATAATGTTCAGACTTCAGGTAATCATATTACAAACGATATTCTACTTATTACCGTGATAAGCAAATCCATGCTTAATATGTCAATAAGACCTGTCAAACCACTAGCTTGTCATTATACAACTGTGACAGCACTTTAAAGCCTATATGTGTCGAAGAAATTACATTTATGTAATCCTGATATTATAAATTTTATTTAATATAACGTATTCATAAAAAATGCAAGCGAAACCTGATGCAAACCTTATGTAACTAACATCAAAGTTTAACATTAATATGAGTTGAGAATTCAACTTCAGTTTGTCAGTTTGGCGGTATAACTACTATGATCGTTAAAATTTTTTGAAATGCGGACTTTGGTTTCGCTTGTTACTTTTTGAGTACCTACCTACAAACATATCAAGGGTACTTGTAGTAAATGGCATTAGGAATTTTATATGCAGAAAAATTGTGTTCGAAACAAATAACTATTTGAAATATTTAATACCGCATTATCCTCCTCATTTTACCACTGTCAAACTGACATATGACTGACATCCTGGCTGACAACTGACAACTACAATATTTACGGAATATTTTTTTTCATTTATAAATCTTTTTACCTACTAGTATCAAAGTTTTCTACACGACACTGGCGGAATATACTGCTCACGTCTTTACGCGGATGCAGGTAATATTTAAAAACACAAACCAACCTAGTATCAAAGTTGGTATTTGCATGAAGAAATACATATACCCTTGCGACGAGTATGCATCTTGAATCTACATACTTACGGAGAGTTATTAGTTTTGCGTCCATACCTTTGCTCATATGATAACTTAGTTTTTATATCAACGTAGAATTTTCAAATAACAACCGATAACTTTCAGTACCTATATAATTTGAAGATACAAACATTTAAGAAGCTTGCATTTATTGCTCAGAAAATGACCTGAGTTTATTAATTAGTAAAGAAAACTAATATATTAACCTGTCTGAGTATAGGAAAAAATCGTATACATTTATGTATTACTGTTAATTATTTCGTCATAATCGTACATAATACTAAATAATTATGCGATAAAAGATCTAAAATGACCTTTAAACTTCAGCAATTCGTAGTCATTGTTCACTTCATGTTATACTAAATGTTTATTGATATCTCACGTCACGATGTTGATTATATTATTCGTTTGTAACCCAATTACGATGAAGTTTAAGTGGGGTTATGTTCATGACTGGGTATGTTTTGTGATCAATGTTATCTTTGTAGTAACTACGTAAGATTTTATTAAACGTTGAGACAAATTAAACGAACTGAATACTCACATTTATTATAAGTAGGATAATTACACTTTAATATTAATTAAATTTAGCCTTATATTGTTATCGATCTATCAGGTTTTCGTACCTCAATAAGGAAAACCGTATAGCAGTTAAAGCATAGTCTCCTACGCCCTTTTTAGTAATAAAACTTCTAAGTCGACGCAATCTAAGGATCACGCGGTTTAAGCTCCGTTAATTTCCCATATTTTGACGTTTGCAATTAAAGCCTATAGAAACTGCTAAGATTAAAGCCAGCCATAAAACTTTGCGAGAACCAATATCATGCAACGCAACAAAGGTGAAATTCTGAAAAACTTCATAGTTTTCGTTACGTTAATAAAGTTTTATCAATTTGTGTTCAAAAACTTTTAGTTATTGTTAAACAAACCTTAAACTGACGTATGAGTACAATAGTTATGGAAAAGAAGGATATATGATTTTACCTTTGTGTAAATATTCGATACTTTTATTACATAGGTACTTAACTAATAATTTAGGAATAACATTACATTATTAAATTATGAATTATTTTTATTTTTTCGTACGATACTTATTGATTATGGTCAAACATAATTTTGTTTATTTTTATTTTATTTGAATCTGCTATAATGTTTGGGTTGGGTTTTACGAACTTGTTATATTTTTTGTTACCCAACTAAAAATACTAACGATGACGAAACCTATACTTTAGCGGTTAGATCTTTTGCTGAACGTACGAATGTAATATGTTTAAATATTTAATATATTCCAGATTTCGGTATTACAACTGGTAGACAGTTGAAAGAGTTCCCTTGTGCTTTCGTGTACAACAGTAGCGAGTCTCACAACGGTACATTCGCTTCTCCAAACTCTCCTGGTCTATATCCGAGGGACACAGAATGTTCTTACTTCTTCCACGGAGGGCAGAGTGAGAAAGTTCACTTGCATTTCACCCATTTCGATGTAGAGGGAGTTCTGCCGTAAGTAATTCAGACCAATACATTAAGGTATTATCTATGTATGGACATAAAAATATGAGAAGCGAAAACTTTATACCCCTTCTTAAGGATATTGCGTGAATTAAAGACTATGAAATTTAACACCTCCAAAGTTTGTATGAAGTAGAAAGTAAATAATATTTCTTTCATAAAAAATGCATTGAAACACATTAAATTGATTAACATAAGCATTACATACATTTTTTTAAACTATAGCTTCATTTGAACTGGAATCGTAAAATGTTTTGTCAATGTCAATATAAATCTTTGAATATTCCTCAATCTATTGTCACTAAATGTCAAACAAAATGACATTTCTATACAAAGATTGAACTTAAAATAATCTATACAGTCGAGTATCTACTATCTAAATGTGCAAGAGATGCAAATGGAAGTAAAAGTATCGCTTTTTAAATTTTTCATAATAACTAGTTTTTATTGGGAACTTGTCTTTAGACGCTGTTCTGTTTGTTGTCTGTTTAGGGATTGTCGTAAAGAAATAACACACTTAGTTATTTATTTATGTCTTAATCATACATATTTACTCCAAAACTGCAAGACAAAGAGTTTCGATTATCATGAACGATTATGTCATATAATACGAATATTTATGATATTAATGGAAATAATATTTATAATTACTTATAAATTTGTTACTTTTGGTGTACGATCGCTTTAAGGTTATAATTTCCTCGTCTATAATGGAATAATAGAAATAAATGTCAGTCGTATCTATCAAAAAAGTTATAATAATTTACTTTTCGATTTCAGTTGTGAGGCTGTGTCGGCAAGCGACTATGTAGAATTTTCAAACTACATGACAGAAGATAATAAGTATGGCAGGTATTGCGGTCAAATGAAAGAATTCCACGTGGAATCCGAGAGGAACTTCTTTAAAGTCACGTTCAGGTCAAACGATAGATTGGACGGAACTGGTTTCAAAGCGATGTACCAATTTTTGGAAGCATCAGAGGAATATCAAGCTCCGATATCTGATAAGGCTTCTGAATCATTGCGTAAGTTTTTTAGTTCAGTGTCGTTCTGTTATCACAGCCAGACATCTCTTAGACGTATAAATAACATACAAACTGCTTAATTATTATAATGACTTTCATTCTTTAGAATTTTTATTTTTTTCTTCTATGAGTTATAAAAAACTTTTATTGCTTTTCGTACATTCTAAATGGATCATTAATTTATCTTGTTCTTACAGATTTTTCTGGTGTCATGGGGTTTATAATTGCCGCAGCGCATCTGAATCATCAACTATATCATTCATAAAGTGATACTAGACTAATTATTCATACTATTAGCATAATAATCCTGTACATTTTGTATAGTATGTGCCATACACTGTAATTTTTATCGTAGGTTCGCAATATTTTCTATAAACATGTCTATAAATAAGTTTCAACTATTAACAACTACAGCAATATAACACAATAAAGTTCTATTCACGCGGGCACGAATTCTAAATAAATTATATAAATAAAATATAAATGCTGTTTCATTTAATATAAAGAAGCTAGCTACCAAATTCCATGTCTTGGAATAAATAAGGAGATTTCTGAACTTTGTTAACAAGAAGGTGATTAAAATTCAAATGACTTTTTCATTATAACTTTGTAACAACATTATCCGGTTTTAACTTGAAAAATACATTCTACGACATTTGTATTTCAATCGTTAATATGTATCTTTCGTATATGTAAAACCTAGTAATTCAGCTATAATATTTCATAAATAGTTACATATTAGATAATACCTATAATAATCAATTTTATGTGAAAACCAATAATTTTATGAGCAGATGCATCACAAATGTTGATTTTATGATATCGTATGCCAAGCTATGTATCTTGGAAGCAAGCAATATGTATCCGTAGAAGAAAATGTTCTCAAAGTTGTGATAATTTGTAAGCCACTAAGAACTTGCCGATTGCCGAGCACTCCAACAATACTCGAAAACATTGATAAAATGAAGAAAACTTAAAGAAACTATCATTAAATTTCTACCAAAGTTTTGATAAGGGAATTGGTCGCCACAAAAGATGTTTAAAAATTGGTCAACTTATAATATACATACATACATTTATGGTTAGGTAACATTTAAGAGATGGACTCTAAAGCCCAATCATCTCAATGGAAGCTGCCATTGTACTAAGGAAACAAAATAGCACTAGTTTAGAACGGGTTACCTGCCGGTTGGACGGCTCGTAAAAAGAGTTTCCACTACGTCAACAAAAAAAAAAAAAAAAAAGAACGGGTTACCTGTATATAATTTTGTATTACAGATTTGTCCGATATATGCATTATGTGTTCTTATGAGAAGTATACTCTGCAAGTGATTGATAACTTGCGCAAGTCTATCTTCTAAAACGCCTGGGTTAGTTGAAGAACAAGAATTGACTTTCGCATCATGACAACGAACCTGCTGACACATAAATTGTTTGCAAATGCTAAAAACAAAACATTGATGTAGCTGTAGTCATCTTATTCAATTACTAGAGATGGCAAAAGACAATCTGAACAAGACCAAAAAAAAAATATTTCTTAAGCGCGTTACTATTGGAAAAACTTTCAAGATGATGAAATAAACACCAAAAATGTATACAGGGTGACTGATGAATTACTATCAATATTTAAGGAGAATACTCGGTACATGATTCTCATTCGAATTATGTAAAAAAAATAGGCACTTAATTTTTGACAAAATTTCCGTATAAATAAATAAAGTGTTGACACGTTCCAAGTGTTCCAAGTGTGGACGCGTGCGGCGGCGTGCTGATACAACACTACGCCGCCGACGCGTGTGTGTGTGTGTGTATACCTAATCTGTAGGGTGTTCACACGATGCGTAATTAATTACATAACTTTTGGTTAACTTTACTTAGAAGTTTATTAATATTTATGTTATATTAATTTTTATTTTGTCATATATGATCGTCAAATATCACATCCTCAAATATCGATAGTAATTCACCAGTCACCCTGTATATTTGGTAACATAAATAAAACTGCGATAATTACTGAACAGATATCGTATAATGGTCGCGAGTTGTCTAATAATAACAAATTTCTAAATTACTCTTATAATAAGACAACCGAACTTTTAGAAACTTATATTACAAGGTTAAATATTTCTTTCTTATTATTAAATTAATTAATTAGAAAAACTAAATTACAACATTATAATTGTGATAAAATCTTTTAAGATTTCAGGGTACCGTACATTTTTATTTCTATTTATTTTTCACGAAATAAACTTTATTATGATATTTCTTATAAATATACATATACATATATTGTTATGTACTTGGTACGATTTGATGAATATTTCTAAGGATATTATTAAATGAAATGTAAACTTTGCAAAAATGTACGAGGAAAAAAACAATGGATAATAATATCCTTAATTTTGTTGCATTTACTACTTAGTAATAAAACTTATTATTGTTTATTGCTTAGATTATTATTGGAGAGGTTGGTTTGAAACTCAAAACAACGCCATAACGTGCTATAACAAAGAATTTCAATTAATGCTGTCTGAGGTGTATAATTTGCGTCGACATTTCTTCCTGCAAGAACTGCCACTTTTCGTTTAGAATAATTGCGTAAACAGAAATCTGAACATATTTCTAGCTCTTTTCATCACAAGCGAACAGTGCAGCCCACAGTTGCAACTTACTAGTTTCTAGTTCTAGTTAATCTCAACAGGTATGTTGGCGGCACTATAGCATTGCTATCTCGCTCGCACCCTTTCTCCCACTCTGTGAAACACGCTAGATGTGACGTCAGTTGGAGTTTGGTCGCCGGCTCGATTGTTGTCAGTTCATTTTGCAACTTTGTCTCCGCGAACTTTTTACGATCAAGCTTGTGTTGCAAAACTTTTTACGGATCTATTTTGTGAGTGAGAACGTATTTGTACATACAAAACAGGTGTTCGTTGTGTAGCCGGAGTGTTTTGTGACCATAAGTGCTACATTTTAAAGGGACGCCGTCGCAGCCTCTGGACCTTACCCATAGTAGGAATTAGGCAGGTGTTTAATCGAGCATATATTACAATAGGTAAAGTTTTTATGATGTCTGAAATATTTACTAAAACTTTAGCTCTTTCATTGAATTCAAATTTTAATTTAATTCCTGTTGTTCAGTGTCATCATAAATATTAATATAACTTAAGTAAGTAAGCGTTTTCTATATAAATAACCAGAATATGTGTGTGCCCACCTGGCTTATTCTGTGATTAATTCACTGTCTCACGTAATTAGACACTGCAAGAATTTATCGACTAACGGGTATTTTATGTCATTGGCTTGCAAATATTTCTGTGAAATGCATTCATTGTAATAAACTTACATCATTAACTTTATATCTTTATTTTACTACATTCGCTGTAAGTATTGCACCAGTCTGTTCAAACAACACGTGTCATCGCCTTTCAAGGAGTCAACTTTGACAGGATGGAAGATAACTTTAGTTATGGGTTTTGGGTGTCAAGGAAACCTTACAAATATGGCGGTTATGAGACTTCTTATGAATAGGTTTTTTTTTTATTCACTTTTTACGTGTTATACTTATTTAGCAATAAGCTTGTAGGTATGTCATTTTTATTATTTAATCAAAGGTAAGTATTGCATCCATTCATTCATTCAGTTACGATCATGCTTTTTAAAGCTTACATGCCTGTACATATTATAGGTTACATGTATAGGTTTTGATTTTCGTAACATTCCCGCTGTTTCCGAGTCAGTATCAATATCGAAAAAAACACCTGTTCTTAATTAAAACAATGAATATTAAGTTTCGTTACAAAAAATATATAATTTTTGAGTGTCAAATTAGTAACGAACATATTTAGTTTCTATTTGACATTGTAATACTTTGGACCGTTGTCTTTGCATGCGTCTTTCAAGGTTCTTTTTTTTAAATTTTAACGAAATTTCACTTAGCAACCATTTATATAGATAGTTAATCAAAACGGTTATATTATAAATTCTGTTGGTAATATTTAAATGATGGTAATCAATTTATATTTTTATCTGCTCTAAATGATAATAGAAAACAATTTTTTGCATATACCTATGTCCATTCCGCGTTAAGAAAATTCTTGTTATAAGACAAAATTCTATTATTTATATAAGATTATTGTGGTGAATTGCAATTAATACCGTCTGTAATATGAATATAAGGAAATTGATGACTCAAAACTTTCTCTTTACGTGTGCAATTTACATACATTATCGTATTTCCCATACTGGCAAAGGTTTACTGGGTTAATCCGTTCCATTTGTTTAAGAATACCGTTACAGTCTAATGATACAGAATCTGTATATGGTATGGCCTTATCATGTCAAGACTATCAAGTTTATTGGTGATTACTTATTGTTTTGTCGTCCTTGCTCTAGTAATATTATAAATGAGATTTAAATGTGTGCGTGCGGTTGTGATCGTGTGTGTAAATTAATCATTAATATTGAATTTTGTGATGTATTTAAGATATTATGATGTTCTTGTGGTGCTCATGAATATGATATCGCTTACGAATTCGACACGCTTTGATGTTTGTTTTGCCGTATTAACAGATTTTCAATTAACAATTCGATTGTTAGCGATTTTTATGAACCTAACTACATTATTTAAGATGGTTAGTTAAATTTTATCGTTTTCTATATAACAGTTTTATGACTTGAATATACAATTCATAATGTTTTTGCAAAATTGCAAATGCATTTACAGACGTGATTCAAAATAAGAATGTTATGTACACCATTACCTTATTGTATGTTAAATAATTTGAAAAAGGAATGTCTAATATTCCATTTTTTAAATTCAGAACTGCTACAATATGTACTACGTTTATGGCCAGATATTTGCTTTCTTTACTATTATTATCAAAACGCCTCAGGCATAGAAATCACATCTATTATTTAATGAGACTGTTAATTATATTATGTAAAGCTGAATGATTTCGATCAGCTAATATGGTTTCTTTTAATAACGGAAGATCGCATAAGGATTGCATTATGTTTAATTTCGCCAACCAATATTAAATTATGAATATTTTAAACGTTCGTTTAAAATTTCAGTTTTTAGACTTTTTATTAAAAAAATTGTTAGGGACCCCTGATTTTGAACCTTACTTATGATTTCCATTCTTTTAGAAGTTTCTTAGTATGGCGGTAAAAGCACGGCTATCTTTATTGTCTACTAAACATATAACACGCATCACTTGTAAATTCTTATCTTTTTTATAACTATTAAACTAAAAGCAAAATCAA